CATGCTATAATTACATTGAACTCCACCCTTTTCCGGTAATTGCAAGCAAACGAGCCCCACCCAAGCCATACAAGTTCAGAACAAATTCTAGATACGGATTGGTCCTGACCTAGGGTTTGGCAGATTATGCTCTAAAATTGCTCTATTATGCTATGCTGCAATTCTCAGAAAAAAGCTCTATTATGCTCTACCAAACAGCCATTATGCTCCCAATTATGCCCATGAATTTCATTATAATAACTTAGCCCCACCCAAAAATGTGAGCCAGTAATTCAATTATGAAGTTCTTGAAAGTATTGTGAGCAATAGTAGCTGTTTAAACATTAAAACAGTTAATTTATTCAGTGCAAGTGCCTGTTTATTGCATTTCTGAGTGCATTTTTTCAAAAATTTTTTTTATAGCTCTATTATGCTTATATTATGCTTATGCTTTTGGGCCCTATTATGCTTAAAATTATGCTAGCATAATCCGCCAAGGCCTATCCTGACCCTCCTCTTTGCGAGGGTCAGGCCCCGCCTGACTAGCAATACGCTACATGTCTGTATATCCAGCATGTATTTTATCACTTTTCTGTAAAGTGATAGTTTTATTTTAAATTTTTAATATTTATTACTCAGGGCAGGTTAGCCCATCCAAAAATTTAACCAATCCAGAATGGATGCATGACAGCAGATAAAAGATCGAGAGACTGTGACTTTTATACCCTGTTAATTGTAAAAGGTATCATGGGTTGTCTGATATTGTGGTTAACACTCATGGTACTTGTGTGAATTCCTGCATGTACTGTCTTACAATTATAACTAAACTGTATTACATATTCATGTACATGTTTAATCATATGCAGCTTGTGTATTTATCATTTTTCTCTTCTTGACAGTAAAGTGAAGATATTGTACAAGTTTTCTCAGGTTTATCCAAAAGACTCTTTGGAGAATGATGAAAAGTGAGCGACCATTAGTAGCAAATTTTTGGAAGAAAGTGATCCAAAAATGGCTCCGAAATTGCCCCCAATTTTTCATTCATGAAACTACCAATCATTCTCTGTCAATAAAGTTATATTTTATAATGTTAGTAATTTTTTATAATTATTATTTTTGTGTTTTTCAGGTTAAATAAATTAGTGAAAGAAGTGTTGTTTGTAACACCTGAAGATATGCCAATCTTATTGCACTGGAGATCAGCACTGAGGAAAGACTACAGAGCTCATTTATTACAGAAATAACTTTATTTTTATCATCAATAATTTGTATAATAATAATAAGTATTTTATTGTCATTATTATTAAAATTGGATTATTTTAAAGATGCGTGGGTGTTAGCTGAAAGCGATAATGAAACGAGTGGGCGTTGCTGGTCATTCTAGTACACGGAAGAGTACAAAGTACTTCACAGTATTCGGAGGTAAACGGACTTTATTCCAAAAAACAAACAAGAATGAGTGGGGCCCTCACTCCAGAGCAAAGCGAGTCCCTGGATAAGGTAAGGGTTTAATGGCTACTCTTTTAGTATTTTAAAGTACCGATTAGTTTCGCATTGAAGCTCAGAAACTTCCAGACAAGCCAGAGGAAAGTGACGAATATTATTTAAGATGGCTAAGGGGTGAGTCAATCAGCTCTTCTGTACAAATCAATTGCAAGGATCTTCTCTTTAATAGCTAGAAGTTTCAATGTGTCGGCTTCTTTAGAAATGCTCAAAAAGGTGAGATGCAACAACGGGTTAATTTTATTTGGGCTGAAATTCATTAATTATTATTATTAATTAGTATTAATTATCATTTAATAATTTCCTCTTGTTGCGTTTTAATTGGTTAATGATGAGTGCGATTGTGTGTTTTTGTAGCATTTAAAATGGAGGAAAGAAGTAGATGCTGACAAAATATTTGACTGGACTCCACCAGAGGTATATTTCAACCATTAAAAATCTACATGTACCCGTATTTTTAAAATAATAATTTTAGTTATAATAATTAATGATGTTATTAATGAAAGTGAAACTTCAATTTCTGACTAAGAATTGCTGTAATTATAAGTACATTATACATCCATTGAAATAAGTAAATTCAGCATATACTGGTACATCCATAAAAGGACCAACTGTTACTAGTATCAAGAGTGTACAACACTGCTATTAAAGGAGTGCATCCATATTCCTTGTAGTATTTTTGTATTGAGTAGAAATATCAGCCAAAAAGGTAACAAAGACCAGAATTCTACATTGTATTTGGTCATTATTAATTAATGATAAAGGCCTCTTGATATTTTGTTGGTTCAGTGACTATTAATATGAATGTACAACTGTATATTAAAGACTATTATAATTAGATACTTGTCCTATTACATATAATTTATATGGTGTACATGTACATGTACATCCATTCTATCAAGAGGTACATATACATGTACTTTACCTTATAAATCCAATCTATTACTTCATTAATGTACTTCTTTCAATTCATTTCCTCATAAACTACTTTATGTGTATTAATTGGTATGACAGATACATTTTCTATTTCAAATCATTTAAACTTCTTTATGTGTCTTAGTTGATACCCTTTATTTCAAATCATTTAGCAGCCATTTCTTAAGCTATGGCACCCCTGACAATATTTATAATTGCATTTTATTGAAGACTTCATTAAAGGATTTCACAGGAAGCCCTGGCTCATTTTAACACATCACGAGCCACCATCTGATAATTTGTAACGCTTACCTGCTGTCTGGCAGGGCTGCTGGTAAAAGCCTATGATTAATAATTCACTGGAATATCAGCTGGACATTATAACAGCTCTTATAGTGATACTGAGATATTGCATATCTACTGTATAGCTGTTAATTCTGATTGCCTCTTAATTGAGGACACCATTTTATTAAAGACACCATTGACCTTCTATTATTATCATGTAGATATTTACTTTCATACTCTGAGAGTTGACTATCAGAGAGTTCTACTGTTTTTGTTACACTTTCATTGTACCAGTATAATCTTCACTTATCATAACCACTTTACATCTACATGTACTTTATTCTTTGTGTTTCCTCTTTTCTATTTTATTTCTTTTTCTTACAGATTATTTTAAGTCTGATTCTTTCTTGTAGGTTCTCCAGAAATATTTTCCAGGAGGTTTCTTTGGTGAAGATAGAGATGGTCATCCAGTGTATTATGACTTCTATGGAAACATTGATACTAAAGGTATTAAATATAATGACCAGAGAATTAATAGTAGGTCTAATTCATTGTCACTAGAGGAAGTTTAGGAGACTTTTCGTCTGTCATATTTAGCCTAAGTATCCTCCTTAAATCTTTCACAATTTATTTCTAGATCTTACAAAAGACTCATTATGTTCAATAATGTTTATTACAGCGGTCCTTTAATTTTATTTTTAGGCTTTCATCGCTCGACCAAAAAGGCCGACATTATAAAACTTAAAATATATCATGCCGAATTAACCGGCAGAATACTAGCAGAGCAATCCAAGAAAGTAAGGAAGAGAGGCGTTAGAGGTGTACTGGGAGTTATGGATACTTTTTTTTTAATTTTTAAAGAAAGGACGTAATCTGGAGACTATTACAGCTGTCATTAATATGGAGAACCTTAGCTACCAGAGGCAATACCACTGGCCAAGTACAGTTTAAATATTTAATTTATTTATAAAGAATTTATCAATTATTTTATTGTTAATGTACATGTATTTTTATTAATTTATTTATTAATATTAATTTTTTATGTTATAGGCATTCAGCTGGCTCGAGAGGTTTGTACCACTTAATAAATTATAATAAAATTAAAAAAATTTTAATGCAATTTTTAGCTCTTTCAAATATTTGGTGAGAACTATCCCGAGAGATCAAAATCTGTTTATATTATAAATGGTACGTCATGTGTTGATGCTGTAATAATGTGACTATTTATTTATACATTCATTAATAATACACAGCCCCTAGAATATTTCCAATGGTTTATAACATTGTGAAGCACTTCATTGAGGAAGACACCAAACAGAAGATAGTAATAATGGGAGGTAATTCAAATCTTCCCTTTCTCTCTCTCTCTCTTACAATCTTCTACTTGCTTCTCTCCCTCTCTCTTTCTTATTCCCTCCTTGTTTCCTCCTTCCTCTCTCTTTCTCTCCTCTCTCTCTCTCTCTTTCCTTAGGAAACTGGCAGGAAGAGTTGCAGCGATACATAGCCCCAGACCAGCTGCCACAAGCTTATGGTGGGACCAGATGTGAGCCTGATCCACAATGCAGTGCCCATGTGAGGGAAAGATACTTTAATTGAATACCCAAACCATCAATCATCCATAGGGCAATGCATGTGCACATGAAATTATAAAATTAAAATCATCAAATGTTACAGTACAGTATATAGTACAAGGTAGGTTTGGCATTTTTAAATTGGTCGTAACTTGAAAAATTGAAGTCGGAATCGGCTCAAACTTTCTACATAGCATAAGGACATCAATATGTATCAGAAAATGTGATAAAAATTGGGGGGTGATTTCGGAGCCATTTTTTGGAAAAAACCATGGGCTATAGTACAGGGTATTTTTCCGAAATTTGGAGTTTTTAAAAAATGGTCATAACTCAAAAAATTGAAGTCAGAATCTGCTCAAACTTTCTACATAGCATAAGTACATCAATATGTATCAGAAAATGTAATAAAAATTGGGGGTGATTTCGGAGCCATTTTTTGAAAAAAACCATGGGCTATAGTACAGGGTATTTTTCCGAAATTTGGAGTTTTTAAAAAATGGTCATAACTCAAAAAATTGAAGTCGGAATTCACTCAAACTTTCTACGTAGCATAAGTACATCAATATGTATCAGAAAATGTAATAAAAATTGGGGGTGATTTCGGAGCCATTTTTTGGAAAAAACCATGGGCTATAATAGTACAGGGGATTTTTCAGAATTTTGACGTTTTTTTAAAATGGCCATAGCTCGAAAAATTGAAGTCGGAATCAGCTCAAACTTTTTATATAGCATAAAGACATTAAATTTTGTGCCTGCTAAGCCCTGATTGCATTTAAAAATAAATTTGAATTTTATATCTAATTGACACTCAGGACTAATATCACAACAGATTATTATGTAGAATTGTACATTAATGTTTCATTTAATACCGTGTCTGTGTGTGTGTGTATATTCAGTGATTACAAGACAAAGTGTAAATGAATGATTTTATTCAGAGTTTTGAAATCTAATCAAAGCACATTTGAATATGAATGCCTTGTGTACATGTACATGCCTGTATCTGTATGTATTCTTGTGTAGCAGCTGTTAAAGAACAATTCAAATAGGATTACTTTACACTTGTTCTCAGTCATTGAATGCTGTTGTGTTTATGAGAGAGAGAGAGAGGGGGGGGAGAGAGAGAGGGTGGGGGAGAGAGAGGGAGAGAGAGAGAGAGGGGGAGAGAGAGAGAGAGAGAGAGGGTGGGGGAGAGAGGGAGAGAGAGAGAGGGGGGGAGAGAGGGGGAGAGAGGGAGAGAGAAAGGGTGGGGGAGAGAGAGAGAGAGAGAGAGAGGGTGGGGGAGAGAGAGGGAGAGAGAGAGAGGGGGGGAGAGAGGGAGAGAGAGAGAGTGGGGGAGAGAGAGGGAGAGAGAGTGTGGGGTAGAAATATAATTAGTGAATTTTTGAAAACCTTAGCAATTAGCAAATGCCCTGAGATAAATGAATAAAAGGAATTTCACGTTAGAATAATAGTTGATAATTATCACTCGTGCCCTGATATACTAATAATAATAATAATAATAATAATAATAATAATAATAATAATAATAATAATAATAATAATAATAATAATAATAATAATAAACCTACTCTCTATAATAATAATAATAATAATAATAATAATAATAATAATAATTATGAACACATCTTATATGTAGACACTGTTAGATTTCAATCATAATATTTGGCTAAAACCTCCCATTTGTTAGTTTTTTATCTATAACATTCAGCCTACCTAGATCCTCCATTTATCTCACAGAATTAAATTCTACATTGAACCATGCACATGCACAGTACATGCATAATTATGTTTCAATACCTTCTGAAGTGACTGTGGTATTGTGTTAAAAATATATTAATGTACGTCTTTCATTACTTGTATGGTATATCCTATACTGCCATTAGTGGTTGTCTCATTTTACACACTTTGCCCGCTTGTATCCTTCTATAGTGGTTGGATTCAACTTAATTAACATCTACCTTACTCTCTCCCTCTCTCTCTCTTTGTTGATTATTTCTTTGTCTTTTTGTTGTCTTTGTTTTGTTTATTTATTTGTCTTGATTGTCATTATCACTCTCTCTCTTTCTCCCTCCCTCCCTCCCTCCCTCCCTCCCTCCCTCTCTCTCTCTCTCTCTCTCTCTCTCTCT